GAGTCAAAAAAATCATAATTTCTGCATATTGCTGTATTTAAGTGGAATAAGGTATGTAATGTCCACAACGTATATGTAATGTCCACAACAGTTTACAGCTGAAATTACTCAAAAAATTAAGGGTATAGAAATGAAACGTTTATACTAAAATAGTTATACCGTCAATCTAACATAAGATCCTAAATAGCTCTTTAGTGTGTCGAACCAATTATTCATGAGATTGAATTGAAGGTTTAAATGTTAACGTTGTGGACATTACGTAATGTCCACAACGAAAATTCAATCATCCCTCCTGTAGCAGAAAATTAAGATTTTGCAAATTGGTCATGACCATGTGATAAGTGTTGGTGATGGCTACCTATTAATGTCAAATTGCGAAATTTATTCTTTTTGGCCTTTATGTTCTGTCCTCTTAGAAAAGGCAATTCAAAAATGTTGAACTTTTCCAAGATAGCAAAAAGGTTAACTTTGACGTCTGATCATAGGACGGGTAAGCCAAGTAACTGCAATATATTTTAAAATTTAAACAATTCAGGTCTTGAGGTTTCTAATGCAAAAGGAATTAAAAAGATCCACTGAATTTCGAAATTAGCTTTTTTTCAATGTCTCATGTGGAATCACCCTGGAGCAGAATGCAGCAAATACAGCCATCATGAGGTATCCTCGGCGCCATTACTGTCAAACTTACGAAATGGAATTTTATTTTATTTATAAGACCTATGGCCTAATTTCTAGAGAGAATATTTAATTTTAATATGGATGATACTTTGATTCAGCAAAAAAAAAATGTAGACAAGTACTGGTTTTCTTACCACATGAATGTCTTGGTGTAAACCGTCAAAGTTCTGCAATTCACGCAAACACACTTGAAAAGACGTCTTGTTGACTTGCTCAAGCCAGATGTTTGCAGCATCATGTTTGAAGGCAGTACTAATGTGTTCCGCTGTTACTATTACCGTAGGCTCTGTCTGGAATTTGTCCTACGTAATATAATGTGTCTACTTTACAATGATAACATATATAACTCTGTGATTTTATAGCAAGGGTGTTAATTGCTACGCATCTGAAATATGCACCTCCGTTAAATATTGGCTATTGTTCATTCTTTTCCTCTGGGTATTATTTCAGATCATGCTTTATCTCTATTTTATTGATTATGATTGGGTTGAATTGATAAGGAAGACAAGTTTGATAAAAAATACCTTCTCATTGGCAAATGGTTAAGTCTCGTTATCTCCTTTTGACGCTGTGTTAGCCTCAATCGTGTGCAAAATATTCCGAAATTCAAATACAGTGGAATCTCTACTTACGGAGGCTCCCGTAAGCGGACAGTTCTACTTACCGACAGCTTTTCAAAATCTGACTCGCTCGGTTAATCATTAGGAATGCTTTTTTTTTAATATTAACAAGAATATCTGACGTTATTTAACCGTTTTAAGATCCCTTTCTATTAGACGGTGGTGTTTGTTTTTTCGTTCGATCAAGCGTGAATAATTTCTCTCCACGTTTAGAACTATCTATTAACGATATAGAGAATTTATGTATAGAAATTCGAAAACCTAACTCTAAGCCATTTCTAATTGCAACCTGGTATAGACCACCAGACTCAACTATAGGTAAATTTGACTCATTTGAAACATTAATTGGTAGATTTGATGCGGAAAATATTGAGTGACTTAAACTGTAATGTAGGGACCAGTGCACCTGATTATAACACCAGAGTACTTCAAGGTGTTACTGATCTCTACGGGCTAGAGCAACTGATAAATTAGCCTACTCGTATTACTGATTCATCGTCTACTACTATAGATCTTTTCTTTACTAATGCAATCAATAAGATAGTTTGTTCTGGAGTCTCTCATGTCGGCATTAGTGATCATAGCTTGATTTACGCTCTTCGCAAACTGTCAAATGGTATGTTTTCTAATGTTAATTCTACAATTACATATAGAACTTTTAAGAACTTTCACACTGAACGCTTTCGCAATGATTTATTTTTGCAAGATTGGGGTATTATTAAAACTCTTGACGATCCTAATTGCATGTGGTATTCGTGGAAGTCCACTTTTCTTGAGATTGTGGAAAGACACGCTCCCTTATGCACAAAGCGGGCCAGAATTTCCAAATCTCCTTGGATTACGTCTGAGCTTAAGCTTTGCATGCGCGAACGGGATTCTCTCAAGATTGGAGCAATTCAATCAGGAAATCCACATGACTGAGGTGCTTTTAAAAAATCTCGCAATTTTGTGAACGGGGCGATAAAGCGTCCCACTATAAGTCTGCTTTGCAAAAAAGTGAAAAGGATGTCAAAAAAACTTGGAGTATTATAAATGAATTGACCTCGAGGAAACAAAACTCATGTTAAGGAGGTCTTTTTGAATAGTTCTCCTATTTGCGATTCTACCAAACTATGTGAAGCTTTTAATGACCACTTTGAATCTATAGGGCCAAAATTAGCAGAAAACATCAAAAATCCTAGTATTTTTGAACTCACTTGTATTACTTGGGAAATCAGGGCCCTATCGACAGTTTTGAATTGAAAGAAACAAGCGCAAAAGTAGTTCTCTCTTTATTAACTAGGCTTTTGTAAATCTAAAGCCACTGGCTTAGATAAAATCTCTGCAAGACTTCTACAAATGTGTCCTGATTTGATAGCTGAATCTCTGTGTGATATTTTCGATCGTTCAATAGCTACTGGGATTTTTCTTGATGATTGGAAGTGCGCTAAAGTCATTCCATTATTTAAGGAAGGAGAACGTAGAGATCTAAATAACTATCGCCCGATATCAATTATTCCTGTTATTGCTAAATTTTTCGAAAGAATCGTATATGAACAAGTTTATGATTATCTTATCAAATACGAATTATTATCAAACTTTCAATCGGGTTTTCGTAGGTCCATTCTACTGTAACAGCTTTGCTTGAGGCAACCAATAATTGGGCCTATAATATTCATCGCGGTAACGTTAATGCAGTAGTTTTTCTTGATCTCAAAAAAGCTTTCGATACGGTTGATCAAGAGATTCTGCTTTCAAAAATTAAGTCATACGTGTTTGCGACGACTACGTGCAATTGGTTTAAGTCCTATTTGTGTGATCGGAATCAAAAATGCTTTGTGAATAGCACATATCTTGAAGCCAAACATTGCGTTGCAGTATTCCTCAAGGGACAATTTTAGGGCCTTTATTATTTCTTATTTATATAATTGACTTGCCAAATTGTATTGCAAATTTTGACTTGCCAAATTGTATTGCAAATTCTCAACCCCGTATGTACGCAGACGATACACATCTAACTTTTGCAAGTGACAATTTGACAGACATAAATACTTCTTTAAATGAAGATCTTGCAAATGTTAGTCGCTGGCTTGTTGCTAATAAGCTCTCACTTAATCAATCTAAAACTGAGTTTATGTTAATTGGTTCAAGGCAGAGACTGTGCACGCTTCAATCCACCGTTAGTCCGATAATGAATGGTGCCCCTGTTAAGTAGGTGTCTCACGCGAAATCCCTTGGTGTGCAAATTGACGAGAATCTATCTTGGAATGTGCACATCCAGGGATTAGCCAAAAAGATTGCATCTGGTATCGGGGCATTAAACGCGTGAGACAATTTGTGGCTATCACTACTCTAATATCGATATTCAATTCACTAATACAACCTAATTTGGACTATTGTTGTGTTGTATCGGGCAATTGCAGTTATATAAACCCTTGCTACCAAATTGCAAAAGCTCCAAAATCGGGCTGCAAGGGTCTTGACCTTTTCGAGCTTCTAATGCTGACTGCCTCATCGAACAGCTTTGCTGGAAAAACATTGCAGACCAATGAAAATTTCACACAGGCGTGATGGTCTTTAAATCTATTAATGGACTGGCCCCTGCATATTTGGGCTCTTTTTTCAATAAACGGATACAAACTTACAATCTAAGAGACTCTGAGAACAAACTTGCTGTTCCAAAGCCACGCACAAACTTTCTCAAGGACAGTTTCAGTTATAAAGGTGCGACACTTTGGAACAGCCTCCCAGTTGGGTTGCTGCAAGTGGAAACTCTGCAAGGTTCTAAAAGCGGATTGTCACAGAAGTAGCACGACTGCCTTGTAAAACAGGCAAATTTGTTATATAGTTTTAGTTTTTATTGTAATCAATAATTATTGTATATCATAGTTAGTATAGTTAGTATTTTTAATATTTCTAAAGTCCTGAATGAGACTACCGTGGTTAAATAAAGTTATTCTATTCTACTCTGCTCAACTCCGCTCTACTCTACTCTGTTCTGTTCTGTTCTGTTCTGTTCTGTTCTGTTCTGTTCTGTTCTGTTCTGTTCTGTTCTGTTCTGTTCTGTTCTGTTCTGTTCTGTTCTGTTCTGTTCTGTTCTGTTCTATTCTATTCTATTCTTTCGGACACTTTTTTTGTTTCCCAAGGGTGTCCGCTTACGGGAGATTCAACTGTAATGCTCGTGGAATTTCAAACTATTTCCATTGTCTTCTATATTCACGGATCTCTTGTATCTGCACGGGTTGTTAGTCAATAAAAGAATTTATTACATGGTTTTGAGGCTAACACAGCGTAAAAGAGATCGCTAAAAGGGTTTATTAATGCATGAGGCATGGGATATATTTTTGTTTTCAGCAAATATTTCTTTTTTAATGCCCAATTGTTTAGGAATTTAAAAGTTAAAAAAATCTTGCATACCGTTGGGAGCTGAATTGTTTTACAACTTGTACCAGTCCACCACTCGTCCATTCTTGTTCGATCAGTCACGCCTCCATCAGGTGCACCTTGGTAAGCAAGCCAATCAAAGGAGGTTTCAGTAGCACGTGCTCCCTCACCTCGACCAGCGGTAGTCACACAGGCAGTGAATCCCTGGTAATGAACACGTTCTACCCATGATGCAGTAGCGTCGTGGACCAGATTGTGATTGGTTGTATTAACATGATTGACGGTAAGATGGACGTGAACTTGCTTGTCTGGATAAAACGCGTAAGGTCTAAATTTCATTTCCTTGCAGACTGTCTGATCCACTGAATGTGACGACCAGAAATCTCTTCCTTTCTCAAGCGGGAAACCTGAAAGACATTGCGTGTGATATGTTTCGTACACTGCAGTAGTGACATCTCGTATTTCTGGTAATGGTTACCTCTACAGCTTCCTGGATGGTGCAAAGTATGATTTCTTCTGATTCTGCACATTTCTAGTTCAAAGAAGCATCTGTTTTTGAAAGTGGTTCCGTTGGAAGAGCACACTTGTTCCTCGTAAGTCGGACAGTTTGTCACACAAACACAGCGGCCATCGTTGGGGGCAAACGCTTTGCAGACACCGAAATAGCTACACGAGACATTAATACAGGGATCCAGATCTGCAACATATCAAGACTGTTTAGTCTTAGAAGCTTACTGTATCTAGTTATTTCTTTGTTTGTTTGTTTGTGTGTTGTTTTTTTTTGGGGGGGGGGGGGGGGGCTGGGAGGGTTGTTTTGATATGAGCTATTTCACTATCGCAGAAAATGTCACAACGTAACCAATTAACAGTTATAACGGACCATTGGGTTTTTGAGGCGAGGGTTTGGCAGGATGATTTTATTATTTTATTCACTGCTCAAATTGTTTTCCATCTTGACTTTCAGGATATGGTCCACTTTGTGATTCTTAATATTTATTGCAATATTTGGACATTTTAACTTCGTCATAATATGCGAGTAAGGAGCAACAATTTCCTTTTTTAACTATGTTAAAAAAATGCTTTAAGAAGTAATAGAAAGATGCAACTACTTCTGCTGATAGAATTGACGAAGACAAAAATTTTGGTGTTTGCTGCAAGTAATATGAAATTTAATAATACTATTATTCTATTCTATTATTGATATATTTGAATATTTTAATGTCAGTCTCAATTTTTTTCTTCGACGGCGTTACACGACAATTAAAGTAACTTAAATACATAATAAAAAGAAACTACTTCACAATCTGATTCTAGTCAATCTATTTTCATTCACAATGTCTCATTATTCTTTAGAGAAATGTCGCTTTACTGATTCATGTTTTCTTACCTCCATTGACAATGTAGCTGATACCAATCTTGTCATCTCGATTTTGGGACCCTGGCAGCTGTCTTGCGCACACTCTGAATGATGAAGTTGTYACTTCCTGATAGAAAAAAAACATGACAGTTATATAAATAAATAAATAAAGAAATGCATGGAACAAATGAAATACGAACTAGCAAAGAAAGAATTCGGTTAAGAATCGTTTTCATTTGACGGTGAAAGGTGCAAGTCATCAAATTGGACCACGTTTAAGGTGCCCGCGCGTCCACGTATTAAAGGTAACCGCTGAACAAGGATCTAATGACCGTTGATAGACGGTGACCGCTTACTGTATTCATAACTGGGAATGATGAAATTATTGGATTTGAAGCAAAATTATAGATGTCATATGAAAAGACAAAAAGCTGCGATAATTACCTCAATCCACGTAATCATTGCCTTGCATGTTTGCGTAACTGGTCTGGAGTCGTTGCTGTAGTAACTTGCAGTGACCATAACGACGGGTGGCGAGAAGAAGTTATTTGTGAAATTGATTTTCTGTGCGTTAATCGTATATTGTTAAATACATACAGTGTTTATAGTAAACAAGTAATAGACCCACAGGCTATGGGCGTATATCATTAATAATACTTGAAGCTTAAGTCCTGACCCTTGTGATTAGATTTTGTTGTGGTTGTTTGTCTTTGTTTCTTTTGTTTATATTGATTTTTTGCTTTTTTTCCTGAAAAAAGCAAACTGACACCGAATTTATTCTTTTGTGAAAGAGGTGTACACTATTCTAGTCATAATTTCTATGCGCCAATGGCTATAGTAGGTTTTAAGCTATTTTTCTATACCTAGATTCATAAAAACCAGATTTGAATAAACCGATAAAGCTGCTGCGCCAGCAGACTAATAGGTCTGCGGACAATTATCATTATGACTATGCGCACGCATGGAACGCCTGGTTGTTTATTATTTGTCGGTCAGCCATCTTTTTGCCTTTTTACTCGTTCACTACTATTAAAGGCTGTTTATCGTTGCGCGTTGACTCATTAGGGAGCTTTAGATTTGAGAACGAAGACGAGGACGAGGACGAAGTTTCGAAAATTCGCCGTTACAGATTACGACAGCTCATGAAATGTCACGCAACTTCGTTGTCTCCTTGCTGAGGACGACGAAGTTTTTACCCAACTTCGTTCTGTCCAAAACGAAGTTTTTAACAGCTTTTCTTATACTTATTTTGCACTGAAAATCTGAAGAAAATGCAAGATCATCGACTTTGGACATCCCTTGTTTTACTTTAAGCAATAAATGTGCGGAAATATCCTTAATTTGTGCTAAGATTGGCATAAACTAAATCATGTCAAATTAGTTTTTCAGAGTGAATTCGTTCTCGAATCTAAAGCTCCCTATTTACTGGCGTGGTGGCAGCGAATCACGAGACTGACAACTCCCGGATCAAATATAGTCAACAAACAGCAAAGGTCTTGTAACGAATCATCCTAAAGTCGGGTGGAATATACGAACAGTCAAGAACGAAAAGCTAAGTAGACACCAGCATTAGTCATAAAATCGACAAGCATGACAACCACACGAGCCCCYAAACAATGGTCTCTAACAAAAATCGAAACGATTGCCTCATTTGAAGCATGGAGGCAAAACATAAAGTACACATTGTCACTAGAACTAAATTTCGCCCCATTCCTCAACGATAACATGACATGGCTAAAGAAATCCCAAGCCCCTTTAAGAGGCATAACTGATGACGGCGAAGACATCCCCGCGTCCAGGCGCCGAACAGCTCAGCAGAAATGCACACATCTTGATCTTATGCTTGGCCAAATCGCTAATTATTGTCCTGTCATCAGCAGAAATACAATAGTAAAGAACTCCACGTCAATCCAATCTATCTGACAAAGCATTCGCATGCACTTTGGCTTCCTATCAACGGGCGCACACTTCATTGATTTCAACAACATCAAACTGGAGCACAATGAACGCCCAGAAGACCTGTTTCAACGTCTTACATCCTTCGTAGAAGACAACCTTTTAACCGCCAATTGCAATATCACTCACCATGGCGAAGCCATCACAGCCGACGAGGAGCTAACGCCAAGCCTTGAAAACATGATTGTTTTGACATGGTTGAGGCTCATCCACTCAGATTTACCAAACTTGGTAAAACAAAGATACGGCACCGAATTACGTACCAGAACTCTTGCTTCTCTCAAACCCGAAATCTCCCAAGCTTTGGACTCCCTACTCGACGAGCTCCGATCAGCCAACGATTCAAAGGTTCTACGCACGGCCATGTCGAAATTCAAGTTCTCATCTCCACGAGAAGCACCAAGACAACCTACTCCCAGCCGTCCAACATCGACCAAACGTCCGAAATCCTGCCCTCTATGCAAGGAAGCAGGCCGAACAGACCA